TGAAAGTGTGGGCAGGGTTTGGGTTTGTTTTTTTTTTTTTTGCTTTATTTTTAATACAAACCCTTATTTTTCAGTACATATAAATATGATTTGCAGACATTGTACTAATGAATGTAGATACATGAGTGGGAGGAGAGGCTTATGGCTGGTTTGTGGCAGGGAGCAGGTGTCTGGCCTTTTGCTGGAAACACCTGCAGCTTGGTTGCATCTCTGCTTTGATAGTGCCTTATTTTTTCTTAAGGTGAATAAAGAGCATGTACAAACTTGTGCTTTTTTTATTCAAGTGGGGAGGTACCCATGCTAACCGAAAATAATGTTTTCTTTCTTTTAGCTCTGCATTGCAGAGCATCTGCAGCTCAAATCAGCAGCAAGTTCCCTGGGATGCTGAGTGGAAGTCTGGAGCTTGGGGATTTTTTTTTTTTGCAAAGTGTTGGAGCTTCGTGTTGTCAGTGTTCATTTTCCTAATATCAAATTTACAAGTAAATCTGAAGAAATAATGTTTGTTAATGCATTTTTAAAAGCTGTTTATAAAAGAGGTTTTCATGTGGTATGAATTTCAGTTAGGAGGCAAAATTGAAAGGGGGATTTCAGGCTATTTCCTGCAGGCAGAATTCTGGCATGGTAAATTAATTTTGATCCTTTTAATTTTGTAAATTAATTTTGACCCTCATTCTGACTTACTTGAAGAGGTACTTATTTCATTTCCAGTCATAAGTGATATTAAATGGGAACTTTTTTAGCAGTCTTACAAGACATTATCTAAGCCGTTCTCACAGATTATTCTGTTTCCCCCTCCCTCTTTCTTGGCAAACAGTGTCTGTCATATGATCTTTGAGAATTATCTTCGTGATAGACAAAATATTTTTAAAACTGGGATATTTCAAGAAGATTTTTATTTTATATATCTTTGTCAGAGGAGCTGCATAATATTGGAGATTTCAATCAGCTGCCTGTCCTACCTTCTTCTGGAGCTTGCCAGTTTAGGAAGCAGGGGATTTATGAATAACTTAACTGTCTGAATTTAGTATACTTTACTTAAAAGGAAGTTAGAAGTACATTGTTATTACACAGACCAAAACAAGCTACAGAAGTATTTAACTTGCAGGCTGTTCCATTTTCAGCTCGCAGAACTGTGGGGCATATTTTTTCATTCATATTAATTGAATTTTAAAGTGACCTTGTACATGTATTGATTTGAATTAAAATTTTCTACATCAAGGACGAGTTGGCATATATCCTTCAGGCAAAATATTAAAAAGCCAAGTGCTGTCTTAACAGGATATCGACGGGAGAAGTTGAAATTTAATAGGAAAAGTTGGCTTAGGAAGGAAATAGTTGCCTTTTTGTCACGATTGAAAGGTGTCTTTTCTGTATAATGAAAGTAGTTTCTTTCAGTTGGTATCTGTGGAAGTGCAGGGACATTTCAGTGCCCATTAAGTAGGGACCATCTGGGTGAGTCTTGATGTCCAGGAGAGACCTGCACTACTGGAGCTCAGAGTAGAACTCCCAAATTACTTTTTTACTAGAGCCATTAGTTTACTACCTTCTTTCAGGTGATCTGTAGGGACACAGTTGTATGACTATAGGTGTATTTTATATTCCATAGTTAGCTAACTGGAGTCCATGTTCACAAAAGACCTATGTTGAGCAGGTATTGAAAGAAAATCGTTTTCTGCAAAATATGATTTGTGAAATATGGTTGAGGCAAGCAAAAACATTACGTCCTGAAAACAGTTACAAGTCTTGATTATTAGAGGACAAAATAAATGGTATTGTGTGCAATACAGAATGTGTTTTACCCTGAAAATAGCTGTGGAGCATACTTTTGGCTTCCAAATCTAACACCATCCTCCAGTCTAGTGACAGGCTGTTGTTCAGGCTTTGTACTACTAGCCTCATTCTTTCAATGCTGTTAAAATGATGAACTATAATTTCTGAGCTATGTGTAGTTTTACAGAATTTCCGCTTCTGTCAAGCTTAACTAATGACACAGTCCTACAAAAAATCATCTGAAAGTCACCATCTCTCTTCCAGCCAATACAAAACCTACAGGAATCCTATGTCAAAACAACAATGGCACAAAATAGGAGAGTTTTCTATTTTGGTGCCAGAGCACTGTAAGAGCTAATTCAGACAGCCTGGCACTAACCCAGCTGAAGCTGCAATCGTTTTATTTATTGTTCAGTTGTGTTACCATGATTCCTGGGTGTCCCTTGTCCCAGGGAGGGGACACCCTTACACAAACCATTGTCTGAGCTGAGGTCACAGTAGTGTGTCCCTCAGGGAGCTCACAGTCTTGGGTACCCCCTAGGGATGGGTTTACACAGCTCCTCAGACGTGGGGGAGACAGTGTAACCCTGCTTGTTTGACATTCCAGCAGGTGGGTGGTCGAGGCTGCTGTCCTGGACCACTCTGCAGAGTTTGACCTTTCAGCACTGCAGGATGGGTGATCGCTGGGGCCTGAGTAGCTGTGATGGGTTCTGAAAGCGTGGAGTGAATGAGTGCAAGGGTATGAAAAGGGGAGATCTGGGAAAAGGCAATGAGCTGATGCAGAAGCATTTTGAAAGCATCTGTGCAGGTGAATCCTGTGGGGCGGTTTGAGGCCAGCAATAAGTATGTTCAAGCAAGTTGGAGTGCCAAACTTGGGATTTTTCAGCTTGTTGTGTTCCACTGTTCACTCTGAGGATTTTCAGGAACATCCCACACAGGCTTCAGATCAACTTCATCCAGTATTTTTTTTCTACCTGGCAGCAGTGTGAGCTATCATGAATGCAGAACATAAGGGAAGAGGAAAGAGGTGAGCATCCACTGAAGTGTGCAAAGGCAATGGAGATAGAAAACATTACAAATAAAGCTGAGTCTGGGTGTTGTAGGGCAGCCTTTTTGCTCTTCAGTTAAGAACATCTATTTTCTTTTTTTAATGGCTTCTTCCCGCCTTTTAATTTTTCTGTATCTGGTTGATGCCTAGTGTGAAGTTATGAGTCAGTTCTCTCAGTAGACCCATATCCTAGTGAAGTGCCAATCTTTCTAAGGTAGAAAAATAAATAAAAACCTGTTAACTCTTAAGTGCACTGAGAGCTTTTTTAAGAGTGACTTTGCTTCCTCATCTTAGCAGCTAGGACAGAGCTCTCTTTCTAATTCCAGTGCATGATCAGCATTATAGATCAAGGCACTTCTGGATCATGACTTTTTTTTTTAGCTTAGTTGATCCAGTGGGAAGTGCTGAAATAACTTTGCTGGTTTATTTGCAGACCAACTAGGTCTTATTACAGAGTATCCCAGCAAGATGCTATGTTTAAGCTCAAATTTGCAGTGCCTGATACTGTGATGTGGTTGCCTGAGAATGATCAAGTGTTCCATACGTGTTCAGAAAATCCCCATTGATTGTAAGAAGGTAGGAATAAGAAAAAACTATTCACAGTATGTGCATATCCCAGGCCTTAATATAAGTTACCCTACTTCAGCCTGTGGCATTTTTCTGCAAAACCTCACCCGTTCTTCTGACCACCTTTTTCTCTTCATGTTCTTGTAAAATTATACTGAGCAGCCCATCTTTAAGTCTGTCATTGGCTCTTTTTTACCTTCTTGTTTCCCAGTCCTTGCTCTTGCTGTAAGCTTGTTCTTCCCTCTTTAGATTCTTCTCTCTTTGAGTTGTTTTCTCCATGTCCTGTGCCAAAGGGTTATCATCAGTTCTTTTCAGGGTTTGTAGCTCTGTCCTGTTCTATACTGATATAATAAGCAGGAGTTTGGGTAACTGTTCTGTAAACTCTTTTATTGTTACCCCATTCCTAGTACTATTTCCCCTCCTAACCCTCCTTCAGCAGCATGATCCTTGCACCAGCTTTGAGATGGAGTCTTTGTGCCAGATCTATCTGTCTTCCTCCTTGGGTGAGTTTGGGAAGCATCTTGACACTTGAGAGTTGATTTGTCTGTTAATCTTAGTCAGCATCAGATTGAGGTTACTAGTGTTAAAACAAGGTGGCAAGTAGGAGTCATTAGCAGGAGTTAAAAAGGAGAAATGTGACAGATCAATAAAGATGCATATTGACTGATTTCTTCGGCTGTGGATTTGTCTGCTGAGGTTAGAAGTAAAATCACAGTTCTAGCCTGTGTTCATCTATATGGGACGAGGTGTTGGAACAGACAATGGAAAATGAGCCACTGCTGGTTGGGAAATATTAAAATGAACTAATTGTTTCTTTCTTATCTTGGTTTTATGCTTTTATGAGTGAGGAAAAACTCAGTAATAATCGCTGTATAACAAACCACAAAGAGTTATCGTTAGACACATCTTAACAATATTGAAGTGCAAGTTCATCTTTGAAATGTAAATTGATTTTTAGATTAAAATTACTTCATTATTGCATTTTTGTCAATAACTTAGGCTTATTTCCTTTGTTATACTCTGACCCTATATATTTTGCACGATACTAGTTTTATTCTTTGCAGTCTATCCCATTCACAGAAGAAAATTAAACCTTTGAAAATGTAATATTTCTACTTTTTAGCTGTGGTTTCCTTTTAAATAATTTTCATTTTTATTTGACCTAGAATGCTTGACATTAAGCTTGTGGCATGCTTTTAAAAGCTAGCATTAGAAGAGTCCAATTCTTCTTTTAAATTATTTTTCTCTAAGTGGAATTAAATTGGCGTATATCAAATGCATCGAAAATAATCACATTTGCTCATGGTTTTTGACAAGTTACTGAGTTCTGTTGTTAATAAAATTGAGAGTTGCTTGGCAGTGTCGTGTCTACACAAGGGAATTCTGTGAATTCATACATTCTCAGTTGCAAATGAATGTTTGTTTGTTCTGCACTTTATAGTCTATCTCTTCCTTATAACACTCTCAGTGGTTTTAGATCTTTTATTTTGGTCTGCCTATAAAATATTGAAAACTGAAATTGCATCAACTTAAGCTGTTAACTTGATGGTCTTGTGAATTCAGATACCATCTACTCTCCTTCAGCTTGTTTTTGTCCTTCTCTTGTTCCTCACAGGTTACCTTAGGAAAAGTGTTAAAAGTGATAGTGGTGATGAGGAGCCTCTTCATTGACCGGACGATAGTAAAAGGGTACAACGAAAATGTCTATACTGAAGATGGCAAGGTAGGTTATTGTATATCCAGTAACATAAAATTTTATTTTTACCTAGTATTTAAATGACGGAGCACAGGAATCCCATCACGAGTATGCCAGAAACATAAAACTGTCAAAATACTCTGTGGACGTGTTGCAAAATGCTCAGGTTTAAATTTGTCACGCATTGCTTGCATTTTTCTTACCCAAATGCCTGACTTCTAAGCTCTGAAGCCCTTGCTTGAATTTCTAATTTAGCACCTTAGACCCCAGTTGCCTCGTTAATAATGTCTACTGAGAAAACATTTTTTCAGTGTACTAGCATATCAGTAGCCCAAGGTTCAGATTCCTCTTTTCTGAGAGCCATTGGGAAATCGTGGGCTAGTTTTGGGTTCAACTTGATAAACATGACTGCACGTATCATTGGTAGGTAGTCCCCAGTAAGTTGCTTGTCCATAAGAGCACATCTTGAACAGCAGCTATTAAAGCAAGCGTTACCTGTTTGCAGAAGTGATTTGTTACGTGAACAATTCACCCTGCTTGAACCCTCAAATTTTGTCTGACTGCACACACTCCATATGGCTCTTTAGTGCGTCAGAAGATGTTAATGGGACCTGACGGCCTTCAGCTCAGCTTGTTTCCCTTTTTAGGGTGGAATGGTCTCTCTTACTGAGACATCCACCAGGACTTTCCTTTGCCAGTAACAGTACTAAATACCTCCATGTTTCACGTTTTTCTCTCTGGAGCTTTCTCTTCTGATTATGAAGCCTATTAAAATAAAAAGTTCATTATGTGAAGATGAATACTTGGCACCCATAGGCCATGTTATAATGAGGTGAGACTTTTTTCCCTTTCAAAAGAGCTAACTGTGTTTTAGCACACAGAGGCACGTTGTGTACTGACCCAGAGTTCAGTGGCTCGGAGTCTGAGGCTCCGTTCCTTAGGAAAGGCCAGGAGCTGGTGTGCTGAAGGAAATAGTCCAGCTCTGTTTCCCAGGTCAGAGATTCTCACTCGAAGGGCAGGGGATTGGCCCAAGAAGTAGTAAAATAAAAATTGCCTGGTTTTGATTTGCATTATTCAAATATGCAGGTTTAAATGCCACTTCTCTGCAGAAGTAGCTGCACCACACTCCCTGTATATTAGCATATAAATACAGACTTACAGCAGCAGCCCCCTTCACCCCAAGTTCTGCTCAGGACTGAAATGATACTCTATCTAAAGAGCACTGACAGTGCTTGATGGATTCCTGTGTCACACTTCATTTGGGTGTGCTCATTTTCCCTGATGAATCCAGTTTCCTTTGAAGCTCCATTGAAATAGAATAATGCTATATATGCTGAAAAGCCAAGTAAAAGAGTTCCTTTCTGAAACTCGGCATCTGGAGTTGGGTTCTGTTTAGCTCAGGGTTCACTCTCTTGAGACCATACACCAGTTCTCTGCCATCTTTTGCTGCAAGGGGGAGAGCAGGACTCACCAAGGCCAGGATTGGGCATGGGGCACTAACCTTTGTCTGCTCTCCATGGGGAGCAGCTCAGCATCTCCAGAGCATCAGTGCTAACACCTGGCTTGTTTTCTTGCTTTAAGCCAGTCTGCAGGGGAGTCTGTTTTCTACAGATTTAGCTTTCTGTGTCCAAAGCTAGGTTAGTGACTGTTCCCACGAGGCTGCGTGAGCCTGTGACCTTTACCTGGCAGTTTGCTATTCCATTGGGCTATCCTGCAGCTTTCACAAACCTGAATTTCTGTGCTTTAGGTATAAATAGGAACATTTCATTTGACTTAAGTAGAATTGGAGTTGCAGTCACTTAAATCATGAGTAAATTTGGCTTGGAAGATGGAATAAATGCGTAGCTTGCTAGTTTTGCCAACTGGAGCACATATTGACAAACAGTAAGCTCCCTCTTTTTCACTAATTAACTACTCTGGTAATTGGAGAATAAGAATAAGATTGTGCTCTTGCAATGATTCGCTTTACTTACTGTGCCTGCTGGGAATGAGCGATTACAGTCAACTGCAAATACAGTCCATTCCAGTTCCTTCCCTGTCACAACAGATGCTGTTGGGAGAGTACTCCAGTGAGGTTTCACCATACTATTTGAGCTTCTCAGTTTCTCACCTGATAGAGGGGGAAAATGCAGCATTCGGAGGAGGCACGAGTCTCTTTCAGAAGAATATGAAAAAAGGAGATCAGTGACTGTCACCTCTATTAAATACCAAAATTACCAAGAACCCTCAGGAGCACAGTAGGAGGTGATCATTTTTCCAGTGAGCAGTTTACAAAATAATTGTTGATTTAGGGGTTAGCTGATGTATTCCTAGATAGCATTTAATATTTGTAAACAGCAGTGACAAGATTAACTAGGTGGTACAATAGAAGGATAGCAATTTTGAAGCTCCTGTCTTTTCTGTCAGCCCTGTTGAAGAACAGACAGTGGATAAGTCATTGTGCTTCTTTAGACTTAAACAGCTGACTGAGGGTCTGTTGAGTCATCCTTCTAACTGCACAAGTCAGAAGGTCCTTGAAGTAACAGAAGAGAAATTTGGTGGGGGGCTTTTGCCAAGTAGAGCAGGGTTTGGGGCCACAGAATCTGTTCAACAACAGAGGCAATGGCCATCATTAGGAGACTGAATGATCACACCAGACAATAAATGACAACTGGACTATGCACCAAAGAGGCCAGCAATTTGCTGGCAGATCATTGTTTATCTTGCTTAGCAGATTTTGCATTACTGGGAAGAAAAAAGGAAGAGATGAGGGCAAGTGGCAGAGGCATTGATAGCCTTCTGCTCCATTAGTCAGACAAGTCTATTTTAAAAAAAAAAACAAAACAAAACAAACCAGGTCTGGGTGTTTCTCCTAGTTGTGGAAGTGCCTGGTGGCATCCTGGCAGTGACACAGCAACGCTGAGGCTGTGTTACCCAGGTTGCTGTAGCTCCCCGTGCGCTTGTACACTGTGCTGTGTAGGGTGACAGGCTGAAAGCTTTGCATGGCTTCTGCTGCACTGAAGTCTAGCTAAATTGGGTACTCTGTCTTCCAGATTTAAATACTTTCAAAATTAAGGTGAAAAAAAAATAGAAGTCTTAACCTCTCAGTAAGGTAAGACACTACCTTCTGGGGTCTTATTTTCGAGCTTTGCTTCTGGAGATGAAGAATTGTTGCATTTCTTAAGTGCTTCATGTACTCCCCTCGTGAATTATTCACAAACCCTGCAGAATGTCTTTCCAGGTTGCCAGCTGCATAACTTAGACAGTTTTGGTGACACTTTGTGAAAACAATAGGTGAGGTCTGGCAGGCTGTCATGTCGTGGGTTCTGGATGCTGGTCGCTTTGCAGCCTCTCTTGCTTACCATATGAACCCATTGTGTCCAGCATCTACTGAGGGGTTTTAATTAGCCCTGTGGTTTTAGTGATGGCACTGTGCCACACCTAACTTCAAACTCTGACGTACTCATTGTGCACTGGAATTTAATCATGGACAGTAACTAATTACTAATGTTGTCCGGATTCCTGAATAAATGAAGCTATGCAGCTGACCCTTCCAGAGCAGGTGTATTGTCAACCGAGCCATTAGGAGCCTTAGTCTGCCAATAAAAATAAACATATGGGGATTTTTTTGGCATAATAATACTGTGCTTTTCCCTGGATGCAGAGACCAAGAACCACCTTGACAGGGCGTATTTAGAGTAGGTGCTCAACATCACTGCCTAGCCAGATTCCTATTTTTGCATCTGTTAGACTTAACTAAAGAAACATAAGTGTCTCTGTTGAATTATCATGTTAAGGAACTTGGGTTATGTTAATGCTATGGCTTCATTAATTACTCCATATCAATAAGAAAAGGCAGCTTTTAGCCTCCTAGCGTAAGAGAGGAAAAGAAATAGTAGTATCAAAGGAAAGCTTCAAAGACAAGCAGAGCCGTCTCTTGGGTAATTTCTGATCCCTGCATTCTTTCCACTTCAAAGCTGGATGTGTGTGTGTTTGGGTGAAGGGGGGGTTGAATCAGATTTCTCTAATAAGTGTTGGCACCGGACCTGTTTGATATTAGATGCAGGGAACATTCTGATTTGTTATCGCCTTTGAAATCGTTCAGACGACCTTCAGAAAATGGCCTCTTGTTACTTATGCTGGGGGTGGGTGGGGAGAGTGGGGCATTGGGAAAAAAAAGCCCCAGTTTAATTCACATGCAGAGGATGCCCTGAAATTGTGCTTTCAGCAGTTTTTTAGTTACAAATGTGTGTCTTGATTGAAAGTGAAAAGTTGAAGAATAATAGACCTATAACGATGCATTCTTTAATCCGCCTCTGCCTTAATCCTCTGTTGCAGGGGGAAAGGTGGGCAGTCATTGAGGATGTGTGCGTGTGGCTTGGGGGTTTGGTAGCTTTTTCTTCTTTCTTTTTTTTTTCCCCTTTCTTAACTTGGACAGTATAATGTCTAAGAAAGACATTCATTACTTTTTCAGCTTTTCAATCTTCATGTCAGCTAATGAACATTCAGAACCTGTTGGACTCATCTGAATGCAGCATCTGAAATGAACTTTTTTTAAAAGATTTTGGTTGTAACTAGAGAGGATCACATACTTGGTTTGATCACTAGAGATTAGCAAAACCATAAATACATTCCAACTCTGCTGTCAAAGGCGGCTTTAAATTACATGAAAACAGTTTTTTAAAGATCTGGTTTATTATTTTAATTTCAAAATGTAGCCTTTCTCATATGGAAATGCAGTGCTTCCTTCCTGACAGGCACCAGTCTGTTATCACAGTGTAACTCAAGCTCAGGTCCAAGTTTTGAGCTGAGCTGCTACTTCTGCACTCCAGCGTGTGAGTGGTGTTGGTGTTCACACAGGTTCTTGATCCTAGCTGAAGAGCCAGTAAATGTAAAAACATTTGTAGGTACATGCCTTGGGGTGCTTCTGTCTTCATCTAATCTGGAAAAGGCACTGACACATCAGCTGCCTTTTGTCTCACGGCAAGGTCAGTTGTTCTAAGCCATGAAACACCTAACCTTGAAGTGATTTTTAGTCTTTAACATCACCTCCTGTCCAGACTGGGGATTCAAGAGTCACTTCTGTACCAGTGTTTAGAAGTGGGCCACTTAACAGTGTTACTTTTGAAAGAATGGGAACTTCCAGCCTTCTGAACATTTTGTGAATTAATTACTTGGGTTCAGCGTCCTTGCCCCTCTCCTTTCCCCTGCCCTCGTGTTCTTTACTTAATTCATATGACTTCCTTCATTTCAGACATTTTTTGTGCCTTTTAAAAGACTTGCAATTCCAGCTAGGACTTAAGGGCATGTAAGACAGAATTAAAATGATCAGTTGCCCCTTATAGTAAAGAAGATGAACCCCCATTGTGGGAAAACGTGGCTCTAGCTGTTATCAAGCGCTAGATGAGCTCTCTCTGTTTCATAAAGTCACTCCAAAAATTTTCTTCTTCTGTCTGGAGTAAAGATTCCTGAGGTTAACGCTATATCAAACACCTTTCCTGTGACAAGGTTTATGCATATGTGATTGAGTACAGTGGAATTGGGGAAGAGGAGGTGGTTTGCAAGTCTGGGATTGATGGGAGTTCCTCGTGGTTTTCCCTCCTGCTTTTCCTTGTCAGAGGAGTGCAGGATATTCCCCAGGGGAGGGCTAAAAGTGCAATAGCACGTCAGTTGGAATTGTTTAAGTGGGAGCCATTTGGTGGTTTAACAAGGGCAGTCTTACCTTCTGGTGTCCATGGCTGAGAAAGCTTCCCTCAGTTTTGTCCTTTTTGTTTGCATATAGTTGAGCACATGTTTAAGTTGTGTAGTTATCTCCAACCTTAAATCTCCTCCTGTTTGATTTTTGACTGCAAATGTAAATGCAGTTTCCTGAGGGATGGTTTATTTAGCCCCAGCAGACCAGTGCTTTGGCTTAATTCAGCTAAACGTTCTTTGTGTCATTTGTAACTGAATCACTTATTCAGACAGAAGACAGGCATAAACTTAGTAAAACTGCCCTCATTTTACAAACAGACTGAAGCTAATGAATATTTGCATAGATGAGGCACAACAAATGAAGATTTTGCTGTTTTTAAAGAGAACATATTAATTCAACAGGTCTTGTATACATCATTATTTATTTTAACTAATGAGCTACATGCATTTGTGCAAAGGACATCTTACATCATTATTTCCCTTTCTTGGGTTGCAACAGGTAAAGGCAATGGGTCAAAACAGTGACCTGAGAAATACATCTCTGAAGAGCTGTTTGCCTGCCCTTTTAATTTGAAAGCTGCTTAGCTGCTTTTTCTCTGTAAAGCTGCTTCATCTGGTAATATGTAACTCTTTTTTTTCCCCTGCTGTAGCTTGACATATGGTCTAAGTCCAACTATCAAGTTTTTCAGAAGGTAAGTCTCACATCATTTCTTTCTACTTAATGCATGTAGAAGATATGCAGAGTTCATTTTAAATATTTAGGCCCTTCAATTTATCCCCCTGACATCACAATTTGCAAATAACAAGCAATAAGCTGTAATAATGGAAAACTGTGAGTAGAAAAGGAGATGCCTTCTGCTCTTATTTAATTTTGATTTATTTCCCATCACAGTTCCAGTCCATGGTTTGGAACAGGAAACTGGAGATTATACTGCTCTAGCCTTCAAATTTCATGAGCTGTCTTCAAGCACTCTTCTTTCAGTTTAAATCTTTTGGGGGAGGAAATCTTTTCAGGTTCACTTGGATTTTGTTTTGTTGTTTTCATTGGTTTTGGTTGCCCTCTCCCCCACTCTGAGGGCTTGAGTTGAAGAAATGAGGAGATTTATTTACCACTTCCAAAAGTGATTTTTTGCAATTTTTTCCCATGACATTATTTTGCCTACTTCTGTTCCCATGGTGGTGGAAGCAAAAGGAGTAACTTACAGAAATGAATGCTGTTCCAGAGAGTAAGAGAAGACCCGTGAGGGAGTGGGAGCACTAAGCATAAAACTATTAAGAAGGTTAAAGTGTATTTTGGAAAGATCTATATCTCACTATTTTCCAGGCAGGGAAGAGAATATTCCTCTTTGAAGACCTCTTGTCAAAATGCTGTATGTTCAAATTGATCCAAGTTCAAACTCGGGTTTCCTTACCTTCAAGCCACAGTTCAAGGAGCTTGGGTCTCCAGCTAGCTTCCTTTCATCTGCTTCTGTAGTTTGTCTAACAAATAGGGGTCAGGGTCTCAAAAGGGCATAAAAGCAGGGGTCAAAACATGGCATATTGGCTGTATTTGTGCATCTTCCTTCCAAGATCTCAAATGCAGTCGGAAGGGAAGATGTTTGACCTGTGGTATTAACCTGCTGGAGATCAAAGGACAGCTTGTGGGGAGGCCGGTTGCTCTCCCTCACTTGCCTAGTGTTAAAGCAAAATTTTGCAGCAGTTGATTCTTTACCCCAGAGAGTAGTGGATTACATACTCTTTCTTTTTCTTCTGAATCCTCAAAAATATTTAGTGTCACGTTGAGTAATATAGCAGGAAGTAAAACAGCATGAAGCTTAGCAACTTGTTTATCAGTAGGCTTTTAAGGAACTTTTGCAATGGAATATGTTCAAAGCTCTGTAATTAAGTCTCAATTTCCTCATGTGTGTAAAGCTGTAAGATCATTTGGGCGTAAGATTGTCTTCCTGGATGTTTTGGCTTAGAATAACTTGGAAGGGTTATAATCATATTGCCATCATTTGTGTTAAATGCTAAGGAATCTGAAAGGTTTGAGTATATAATTTTAATTACCAATATGCAAGGTTATGGAGTAAAGTAAATGCACAGGTTTGTTTAGGAGCCCAAGCTAAGGATTTGGGGAGCATAAGCAGGCAGAGTAAATTTCTGTTCAGGTCCAGCTGATGGCCTTCAGACAACAGGTGAAAGAGCTCAGGGAGGAAACGTAAGAGGGGTGCTTCACTGTCACCTGTGTGGCTGCATTATTGGTAAATAAGAATCTTTATTCTCTTCCTAAATATCTAAAATAATGTGATACAACCTGACTATTAAGTTCCTGTTGTCCAGTTCTCTCTTGGTAAGTAATACTACCAGATGTATTAATGTTTACCAAAAAATAGAAAGAAAAGACTGCAGGAGAAAGGGTTGCCTGTAACCAGTTGAAGAGCCGTCTGTGTTTTTTGGTAGTAGTTTTACACATTCTGTTCCCAGGTCTGACACTGTGTTACCTTGGGCAATTTAACCTCTCTTTGGATCCCTTTTCTGCATCCCTTAGGCTGGGGTAATTCTTGCTGACTTTACAGGAGCTACTGCTGAATTGGTTGCATAGTGCTCTCAGATTGTTGCATGAAAAATGTGATAAAAATGCAAGGTGATGGTGCTTTCTAATCAATAGATTCTGTACTATTGAGCTGATAGTTAACGAAGTTGAGGCTAGGACCTAAGTCAAGTTTTCGAACAGATGATGGAAAATGCTGTGGTTCAGCATAGTAAGTTTTCTCTCTGTGGTGCTGTGCTTGGTTTGGTTTCCTCTTTATTCTCTGAAGCTGCATTTGTATCCATTTATAATACCCAGGACTAGTGATTCAGCAGTAGCAAAATGAAGGAAATAGAAAACAGTGTTAGAGAAACTATTACACTTTTACTGGTATGGGATCTGTGCTGCAGGATCTTCAGAACAAATGTTTTCATGCCATTAAAAAATCATCAGTAAATGTGTCAGAGCACATCTGAATGTTCTTGAAATGTATTTCTCATGGCAGTCACCAGCAATGTGATGTGGAAGTGCTGTGCTGAGAGGGAGAAATATGGATGAGTTACTGCTCCCACTGAGGAGACTGGGTAGCCCTTTCAGCTCCACCACCTTTAACACCTCAAAATCAATCATCCCTCTGAAGGGCAGGGCCTTTTGTTTTTAAAAGCTGGACCAAGTTCTCAAACTCTCTTCAGTAATAATACAACAACATCTGGAGCTCACAAGATACCTGCCTGTAGTAGCTGCAGGCCTGTCAAATTCTCACAGGGTTGCAGTATGACTTTCTAGGTTAAGGACCAGAGACCTCTGATCTTCAATCCAACCCTGTCAAACAAAGCTAAATTTGTCCTGACTTTTGTTTGCAAATGTTGGCTGTGTCAGCAAGCCTTTTCTCTCTCCTTCTTATTAGGCAGGATACCCGAGTGTGTATAATTTGATGGGGGACGGCTCCCGGAGGGCCCATTACTGTTAAAGTGTACAGTCATTTTCTGAGTTCCCTGGAGACTCCTTGAATCTGGTCCCGGGGTGAATAAGCTTTATAGGCATTGAATCCACCAGCAGGGTTAGATTCAGAGAATGGAGCTGGGAAATAAGAAAAGGAAGGCTGAAAGGGCAAAAGCACAAGGAGCAAAGAAAAGGTTTTTCAGACTTCCATGCTGGTCTGACATTTAAACTCCACACAACTGGCAACTGTTTTGATCTTAAACCTCCTTATTTTAACACCTCGCAGCATCTCTTGATCCACTGGTGCAAGAGGAGGAACAAAACAGGAAATGGGGAAATATTTGGGGGCTTGAATCTCAGTGAAAAGGGCATACATGAGCACTGCATAATTCTGGGTCAGTGTGCAGAGGATTTTTTAAACTGTGTTGTAGAGAACAGTGCAATATTCATAACTTTGCATTCAAAGAAAAAAAGGCAAAAATAGAGAACAGTGGTACTGCTATGAGTGGATTAAAATAGGATGTAGTGTCAATCTTGAACTGCTGGGTGTAGCAAGCTGCTCAGTCACAAGCAGTGTAGCTGGTTTTGCTGTGTAGTATGATCAGTTTGGCTGTTTTAAGTCATACGCATAGGCTTCAAACCCATCTATTTCATTCTGATCTCAGAGTCCCGTTCTTATTTTCACTGAAATGGTCTATACATTTTAGCATGCCACAGACTGGTTTTGTTTTGGCTAGGTGTGCTTCTTACCAAGGCACTTTTTAGCCTAATTTCTGAGAAGCTGCTTGTGCCTCTCTGGTTGTTTGTGAGCTGCGTGGTCCCAGAGCGGTGGAACTGAGGAGCAGGATTTGCACCACCACAAGGGCACATAAGTATTGTAATGTATGAAGATGTATTCTTGTCAATAATCTCAGAATAAAATCACATGCAGGATGAATTCATGCATGAGAGAAATATTGGGCTATTGATGATGTCTGTTCAAGGAGAGGAGATGGACTGTTCCAGGGTCACCTGCATGATTGCTCCCGTGCATGATCAGTGCTTGCCTCTGTTCAAAGACCTCCTTAGGTGAAATAAAATCCCTATGACCCCATCCAACTAAGCAGAACAAGAAAAATAAAAACCTAACCACTCTGTGAGCTCTGTAAAACAAGTGATAAATTCTGTGGCTCAGAAAAGTCTAGTAGTGCTTTTCTGAACTGGGGACAGGGAAGAGTGTGTAAAGGATCTGCGTGGAGTTCATCAATGCCTGTTGGTAGAGGCACCATCTATCATCCTCCTGGGCACCAGGCTCTGTGCATCAGATTCCCTCCAGAGAGAGTCAGACATGGTCCTGGAGAGGAGATTGAGTAATGGGAATCCTTGGAAGTGAACAAAGGCATTCATGCAGTTTTCAATGCTATAAAAGGTCTAAACACTAATAAAATAACTTCTTTTTTTATAATTTTTTTTCTTTCAGTGCTGTCATCATCCTCCAGAACTCATTGCTACAGGCTACTTACTGTTAAGGCCATGAACTTAGCAGGGTTTAAAAAAAAAAAATTAAAAAACTTTCAGGGGATTTACAGAATCCCTTTATATTAGATGGAGTTGCCAGTGCCATGCTTGAGGGAATAAACCAATAAGTAAGTGGCAAGGAAAGTTATGACTTTAAAGGAAGTTTTGCACCTACTTTTGAAAAGCATGAGGTAAAATACTAGAAGAGGAAGACAGCTTCTATATTCAGTGTGTGATGTTTGTATGTTTATGGTTTAGATTTTATGTCAGGCATAGCTTCATACATCTGTGGAACATACCCAGGCTATGGGGAGCAAAGTTATACCATATGTCCTGCCTTTTGTGCTTCTTATTCCAGGTAGAAGTACTTGTTCAACTTTCTCAACCTATGAAGTCTTTAGAATGTTGTGGGGTTTTTTAAATGAATTTTCAGCTTGGCGAATGCTGCATGACTAACAGGTGTCATCAAGGCCCAGTAATGCCAGTTTTTGGATGTGTCACCTTTGGAAAACACATTTCAGCAGAGCACTGTTGTCAGGTGCTGTTTATCTTGGTTGAGACCAATACCAGGGGTTTTGTTTTCTGGTCCTTGCTGGCTGCTGGTCTCAGGAGTTACTGATAACTTCACTGCATGTTGGCTGCAGGAAGGGCCATCAGGAGACCACATCTCCAAGTCTGTGGAGCAGAGCAGTGGTGCCAGCTCAGCGGGCAGCTCCTCATGGTAGGCACCCAGTGCCCAGGCAGCCCTGCTTGCTTGCCTGGGGCTGGTGGTTCCCCAGGAGCCACAAGTACCTGGGATTTAATTTGCACAGAGTCACAGTGGTGGTTCAGGCTGGTATCGGGCTGGTTGGTGTGCCTCGTGTCCACAGTGCCCTAGAGGAGGGAGCAGAGATGCTTTTAAGAAGTACATGGTTATAGTCAACTTGAATTTGGAAGTGGAAAGGAGAGAAAAAAATGAAATCTCAGGCAGTATCATGAACTATTAACAAGAGGCAAGTTTTCTTGTTCAAACTGAGTCTGTCAGAATTTTTCCCCATGTAACTGAAGTCTCTTTTGCTCTGTCTCAAAGTGCTGAGTTAAACAATAGCTGTTTTATTTAGCAAAATCCAGCTTCAGGAGATTGCCTCGTCTTACCTTCTTTTCAGACAAAAATTCCAAGTGCTTTTTAGTATATGAATTGTGAAATATTGAGCTTTTTTGCAAGATCTCTTGAAACTCTATTTCAATGTCCAGAGCAGCAGCTATCCCAGTTAGTGTGTGCTCTCTGAGTATGTTCCATCTAAAAGAGGCAGAGAAATTAGGAATTGGCTGATAGTTTAGATAACACTAGGTAAGGCAGAGCAAGAAAAGCAAAGTGAATAAAATCCAAGCCTGAAATGTACAGAATGTTATCCTACACCCAGAATAAATTAGTTTGTGATTCCAGCTTGGCTGGAAGAAAGTGTGTGTCCCTCAAGTGAGCTCGCACGTATGCAGCTTGTTTTGCTTTGCTTTGGTGTGAAATTGTATCACCATTAGTAAAGCTGGGTATTGATGTGGGTTTTTTCTTTTTTTCTTCTTTTTTCTCCTTTTTTAATCTTGGCCAGTCTGTGCATTCTCTCATCATCTCTGTTATCTTGGGAGGGTTTAATTCTTCCTTCACTCCCATGCACTGGCCATTTTTTTTTATCCATCTCTTTTCTCTTCTGTTTGACATGAGGTTTGGGGTGGGGAGGTCATTCCCCTACTCCTCTTCCTCAGATTTGACACCTGCTTTGATCTTTTCTAGAAGCACTTTATCAGCACTTGTTTATGGTAGGAATTGGCTCATTTTTGTTCAGAAAACATTATTAGTGTTCTAGCAATGCTTGGATGGCTTTTATCTCCCTGTGGAATCTCATTAGCTTTACATCACAATAGAAACAGCATATGTTCAACTTCGACAAAGCGGTCAGTCAATTTAAATTTGTTAATAGCAGTATTTTTTTAAGCAACTTTCTTCAGTACCAGGAGAAAACAACTTTGTTGTTCAGGAAAAAATAAAAATTAAAATACAATTTGTTAGAAGTAGAAATACAGCAGAAGGAGAGCGGCTGCTCATAAATATCCTCAGAACTTTCTATTCTTTGACATGTCTGGTACTATCCTATATAAAAGCACTATCTTAAAAGGGAAAAAAAAAAAATCACATTCCTAGTAGGGCTTGGATTACAGTCATTTCTGAACACTACGTGAGATGTGTTTAAAAGAACTGACTGAGTTGTGCTGTGCTATTAATGCTCTGTTAATCACATTATTTCTAATACTTTCTTTTTAATACACTAACATAATAAATGGCTTAAGCAGGCTGAGGTCCTTTTTATGACTGTTTTTGCAAACTTGCCAGAATGTGCACGATCCCAAAAGTTTTCCCTTCCAAATGTCAGAATCACATGTCCTCGTTCAGACTGAAGGGAGCTGCTTTTGGAGTTAGCTGTGCACGAGTGATGGGGAGCAGAACCTGCTTCTAAAATTACAGTTTGACTGAAAACTGGATTCAGTGTAGGGCAGACTGATGTAGTGTTCTGCAGAGGCAGTTTGTGTGGTGTGAATTAGAGCCTGTCTCTACATGGCTTTATTCAGGAATACAGCTTTTACAGGCTCACCTCCCTGAATAGCTTCAAGCACGAGCTGCTCTTTCTGCAGTGAAAGTTTGAGTGCTTCAGCACAATTCACATTGCTGAATTAGACTAAATACAAATTGGGAACAAGTGGAGTTAGCTGGGAATAGAATTGTAATTTCAGTTCACACTTCATCTTACTCAAAATTTGCTGTAGTACATAGACAAGCCCTGGGAAATACATAGACAAGCCCTGAGAACAGCACTTTGTGTTAAAACTAGAAAATACAATTTAATCACTAACTAGACAATCACGTATTTTGTTGGATGCTTTGATATTAATGATGAGGACCATTAATAGATTTACAAGTTACTAATGAGGGCCATTAATAGATCTACAAGCCACAAGATGTGAAAGGCTCTCATGGTTGTGTTGTCTTGAGTTCATTAATAGTTCAGCCCCACAGTGTTTTGCCAAGAATTTCTGCATTAATCCTAGAACTTTGGAGAAACAGCAAACTCTTGACTGTGCTAATAATTTAGGAAGCTGACAGGCTGCATACTGGTAGTGAATTGTTATAGCTGTCAGAAACTGCCCCCTTCCAGAACCATTTCTAAATGATAGTGATTTAAAAAGAAAAAAAATAATAAATCTATGAAACCCTTTGGTTTCTTGATATTTTTTCTTTAGTTATTCTTGTTATTATAAATACACATTTTATATGTGTTCTGTCTAGCTGTAATTCCCAGATGTAAGATATTGTTATGACTCTGTCTGGGAAATAAAAAAAGCTTTCTATCAGAAATCTTTTACTAATGCAAATATTTATAAGCCATAATCATATTAATTGATTCTTGGTTTCAGAGGAAATGAAACTGAGAGTTTGATTCCTGTTCAGCGTAAGCAACCTGAAATAGGACTACAAGAGTTCAGTGTTTTAAATTTTCCCATTAAAAAGTGGAGAGCGTGCTCATTTTTCTGTAAAAATACAGTTTCAATTCACAATATTTTATCCTATTAGGAGAGGGTGGATGGGGCTGATGTTTTCCTGGTTTGTTTTTTTCCAATGTATCAGGCCAAAACCAAAGCTTTGGATTGTTTGGGGTTTTTTGTTTCATTTTGAAGTCTTAACCTCTGTTCTTAGAATTTAGTCTTGTAGGAAAATTAAGTAGTTCTGCATTATTGACACTGTTTTTTCTTTTGTTGAGCAAATCCTTGGGAACATTTAAAGAGAAAACCAATGTGCTTTCCTCTGACAGGATTAGTGTAGTGACTTTGCTTGTTTGTGATGTCACAGAATACATGGGATTTCAGTCACAGAAGCACAGATTCTGCTCTGAAGCTGCAATCATTTGAAAGTTAGACAATTTGTTTGGATGTTTTTATTTTATATCATACAGGGCACTTATTTCTTTTTCCATTTTCCAGCTGGGTTGGTAGCCCAAAGTGGGCAGCGAAGCATGTTGCTTTGGCATTGCTCTGTGTAGCACAGAGCTGGACACCAGTCTAGATCCTCTGACCAACACCATCAGCTTTCACTACCTTTAGAACTTCCAAAGGTGTTTGACCTTGGTGTATCCACATGAAGTTATTTGTCATGGTTGCTTCTTGTATGAAGCAACCATGACATTCAGCTGATTCTTGTATGAAGCTGGCTGAAGGAATGGAAGCTGGCTGCCAAAACCCACCCAAAATTACTTTGAGATTGTCTTCACAGTCTTGTAATCCTTGATTTGCTACTTCCCCATGGAATTTATACCGTTTTCTTGCAGATTAACACTGCTTGGTCTGAAATACAGAATGAGTAAGCATATATCCTCCTTTTGTCTGGTGCAGGTGACAGACCATGCGACCACTGCTCTGTTGCACTACCAGCTCCCTCAGATGCCAGACGTGGTGGTCAGATCTTTCATGGTAAGTGTATTGGAAAATGCATTTTTCCAGATAGACTTCATCATGCCTACAGGGATTGGCATGAGGTAGTTCTGGTGCAGTTGTAATTTCCTCTATTTCATCAAGCTAGACAGTAGCAAGTGACTGTAATTCCTTGTGTGGTACCTGGAGAAGGATGAGGAGCTTGTTCTTATTACCCTGGGACAGCTGGTGTTGGAAGGCTGAGCTGTATATGGTGGTTCTGGTGCTGGTCTCAATATTTGCTTGATGGCTCCTATTTGCAAAGTTACTCTGTGTGATTTCAAGGCAGCAGGAAAAAACTCTCAACAAGAATCTTTGGTATGATCCAGCCCTTTCCCCCTCTTCATACTCTGCAAGTAATTGAGTTTCTGGTTCCCGGTAGGAGGGAACTCCCAGGTACTGTGTTCTAGCACAGAGTGAGAACAGGGGGTTATGATTCAGAATTCCTGCTACCAAGATGGATTTTGGCTGGGGAGACTCTTGCTGTTGTCTCTGCTACAGCCTTCCAAAGGAGGCTTTTGGGAGAGTTTTCACTGCTTTTCAGACTTTTCCTTTCACTTAACTTCCATTGCATTGCCCCTTCACCTGGAGCGAAATGTAATTGAGACACTTTTTTTTCAAACAGACACCTAATTTTGCCATTCACAATCTTAAGGTCTACACAGTAGCATTGGGTCTTAATTTCCACTGTGTAATCTCAGGTCGGTCAGACTCCCTTACCTGCTGTGCTGGTTTGCTTATTTAACAAAGCAGCCACTAAGATGAGAGATTTGCAAAGGTCTCTTTTCTTGGAGTGCATCTTAAAATAATAGGTTTTGAAAGGTGAAGGCAGCTCTTACTGGTCAAATCCATGTTGAACATGTATCTGAAAATTAATGTTCAATAGAATGGGTAGCACGTTTCTTTGAGCCACGGACCTGCCTTATTGATTTGATAAAACACCACTACAACTTTTAACAAAGCAGACGCAGACGTACACCACAAGTGTCAATATGTTGGTCCTTTTGCATGTCAGTTGTGCAATCCACATGACAGGGTGTAGTGAAGCTCTGGGTTTCTGATGGGAATGAAGAACACCTTTTTTTCTCTTCTTTCAACAGCTGTCTCAAGTGCACAATTTAACTTCATTTACCTATTTCTGTATTATGGTTCAGAAAATTCGATTTCTCTGTAGTGCAAGCAAAGCCCATCCAAGCTGAAGTAAATAACAGCAATTTACTTGTAGTGTTCTGTTGCCCTTGTCCCCATATTTACTGCTAAACCCAGAGAAGATCTAGTTCTTTTGGAGGAGACTTATTGACGGCCAAAGGTTTGGTTGCTATAGAGAAGGCTCTGATGAAGATGGAAGGATTTGTTTCAATAAACTCAGCTGACCTCTTCTTCAGAGAACAATTTTCTCTTATCGATGTAATTCAATAGGACTTTAAATGACAAGATTCATGTGCATCCTTCACAGTATGAATCTGCTGGTCTAGGTGTTTTTTAGTTGTGTATCTCCTTGAGTTGGGAATTGAGTTATGTAATGCTTATTGCTACCTATGACAGTGGGAACAATCCACTTCAGAGACAGGAGCTTCACCCGGGAACACCTGAACTCACTTGGTGTTGTTGAGCACTAGCCTTTAATGTATATGTATTTATCAGTGTAATCAGATTTAAAATGGTACAGTATTTTTATGACCAATGAGTATTGATCCTAGAATTGCATTAGAGAGGAAGTTAGTTAGCTTGCTCTGAAAGCCCTTATATCTTCAGCTGTGGAGGGTTCAGACTGTTGCAGTGTGACTGCAGCAGGGGTGTGATAGATGATCATAGGAAGAGACAAACCAATATTTGGTTGAAGAAGGTACCCATCAAGAACAATTATGTCCCAATAAAAATATGAGGAGCATTACTGTGCTTGCCTTCCACTGTGATTCTCCAGCTGCAAATACCTCCTTGCTCAGAATGCATGAATTTCTATTAACAAATTTGCTTAAATGACTAAAAGAAAAAGGAAAAGATGATTAATAAAGTGAGAATTCAACTACACGGTGACCTTGTAATCTTGGGCATGTTTCTTTTTCTAACATCTCTGTATATCTCTCTGGGGCCTCGCCAGAGTACATCCTCTGTCCTTGCTATGGCTGTTTGACAGGAGTGATGACAAAGGGGAACATCCCTACCCAGCTTCCTTCACTTCTCTCCCTTTCCCTTCCAGACCTGGTTACGCAGTTACATCAAGCTGTTCCAGGCGCCGTGCCAGCGCTGCGGAAGGTTCCTGCAGGATGGGCTGCCCCCCACGTGGAGGGACTTCCGCACGCTCGAGGCTTTCCACGACACCTGCAGGCAGTAGTAGCCCAGCTGTTGACAACGTGAGGAGTGAACTCTCTGTCGGGCTCAAGAGGGCCAAAGGTTTATTAAAAGGTGGTTCCACTTCTGAACCTTTCATCCCGTCCTGAGCAGTGAGGTAGAAGGGATACGTTTGCCTCTTTAAAAGCCATCAGTCTGCAGAGCACACGTGAGGCTGGTATCTTCTGAAGAAGATGGTGAGAAGCTGTGTGTGATCACTCGCTGCTTCTGAGCTGACATTGTCTGTCTGGGGAGATCTGACAAAGATAATCGTTGTTCTAAACCTTAATGAAAATATCTGTGTACAGTTTGTGTTTTGTGACAGAATTTGCAATGTTGAAAACTTTTATAAGCTTGAAATAAATTTTGTATTCCAGAATTGGTGCTATTTATTTCATTACTTGAACAACAAATTCCTTGGGTTTGGTGTGGACTTTTCAGCACTGATCTTGTCTTTAGAATAACTGGAAACATTTAAACGTGCATGCTGATGTAATAGGGGATGCTTGTTCTCATTGCAAGGCTGCTTATTTGAGTGGTGGGTTTTTTTGTGGAAGAGATTATTGACTCTTGTCTTTAGAAAAACTGGAAACATTTAAACATGCATGCTGATGTAATGGTGGGTGCTTGTTCTCGTTGAAAGGCTGCTTATTTGAGTGCTGGGTTTTTTTGTGGAAGAGATTATTGATTAAACATGGAATTTCAAAGGCATATGGCAGCTTGGAAGATGCAATGGATTTCTAAGGTGGGGAGAAACAGATGTTTCCCTTTACTAAAATTTTAATGAAGAATGTTAGCAAAATCTGCATGTATTAAGTGGTTAGAAGAAGTGTAATGAGCAGTGACAGTGTGTATAACTCATCATGCTTTAGGACTGAAGGTAGTAAAATAATTCAACTCTAAAGCAGAGCTCCTGCAGCTCAGACACAGTGCTCACTGGCCGGGGGCTCTGCCGGGTCTGGTGTCTTCTCTGCTGTTTTCTTGAGGACTGCACTTTTCATCTGTCACCTCCTGATAGCCAGTTTGATTAATTCTCCTGTCATTCCCACTAGCACACCCTTGTTTCCTTTACAAGCCACAAAGGCTTTGTCAGGAGCTGGTGAGGGGAGGGCTGGAGAAGCTTTGTCACTCAGTTAATTTTCACATAAATCAACATTAAGGTGTAGCGTGCTCTGGACTAATTTTTGAGGTTGCTTCTGCCTGTGTGAAAAGCCTCTGTTGCAAAAAGAGTAGATGTCCCTCTTTGAGAGTTTGGTGGTGGTGAAGTTTGGTTTTCAGCCAGGAATGTTAAGTTAATCACATGGAGTAAAACGAAGTGGATGTGGGACACACACACAGGGCAGCATGGGGAGGGACCTTGGGTTTTGCAGCCAATTGAAAGAAGGTGTTCAGAGACGTTAAAGCTCTTGGTTAATTTAGTGTGAACCTGCAGCACTTCTGAAACAGCCTGTTGCACAGCTGGGGAAACTGGAAATGAAGAGACTTGGGTATCACCCGGTGCTTGGCGTGGTACTAAATTGACTGTGTTTGCTGGTAGCATGAAAGACTGAGCTGCCAAAGAGCAGCTCCTGCCTGCAAGGACAGCCTGTGGAGGGGGAGTTTCAGCTTTCGAGGCGTAGAAATCCCTGCAAGACTGAGAGGAACTTGAAAGCAAATACACCTTTGAGCTCCTTTGGAGGCACAACGTTGCGTATGAAGAAGGTGCTTATATTTGTTTGAGGATGTTGGTGAGCTCTGATTCTTTTTTCAACTTTGTAAAAGTTATTCCCATTCACTGAATAGAAACATTGCCATGGCAGAGGGACAAGGGCTGCAGCTGAATCACCTAATGAAAACTTTTTGTGCTGTTATTTGACCCAAGTAGCCTTCTCAGTACAAAGATCACCCAAGACAGAACCATGTCTGCATCTTAGATGAGAGAGAGCCTTGTAAATAAGCAGCCCTGCTAACCATCCCGTTACTGTACTAATTAGAAGGCCTGGGTTTCTGACAGTGTAAGCATTTTCTGGTTTTTAATAAAAAGGTCATAGTATGGAATCCAGCCTGGTTTAGGCACTGCTGTCTGCTCCGATCTGTTTATACTTAAATAATGGTGTAGAAAGCAAGTCCTGAAGTTCACAAAAGTATTTTATGTGGAATCGTGTCTTGGCACTTAGAAATAATTAGCTGCAGAAAACAGCATCAGCCAGTCTGTGTGTTAATTGAGCCTGAAATTTTAAACCTGTAATTGGTGAACCTGATGGAGAGTCATAAAATTCACTCTAGGTACCTCGATGCAAAATTAATTATCTCTACAGAACTGCAGTGGGAACCTGTTGGTCGAGTTCCTTCCCCCAGAGAACTGCAGCAGGAGGGAATCTTCTCCCCTCCTAGGGAGAAACAGGGTTATCCATCCCTGAAAGCCTTTCAGTGTCACGGGCTGGAGTGTTTCCATTTTGGGGAGTGAAATTCAACTGTAAATTCTTCTAAAGGTTATACATTTCAGCAGTTTGGAGGCACTATGTGCTTGTTTCTGCTTCTTGTCCTGGAAGTGTGAATGCCAGGTGGCCAGTGCCTGATGATCACCAAGATGTGGATTTCCAAGCCAAGCAGGAGTTCTCAATGTGAGTAATCAAAATTAGGAGATTCTAACCAAAAGGGCATTCTCACAATGTGCAACATTTTGGTGTTCTTCCTCAGCTTTGCAGCTTGGGTACTGGACACTTCGTGGAGAAGAATCCCTTATTTAAAAGGGATGGGTGACAAAAAGCTGTTTCATTGCAGGATGAGCGACCTGGTGGGGTTTTTGTATCACTGGAGTTGTTGCAGCTTTCAAGACAGATCTTTAAGGCAAACAGCAAGAGCTGTGATCCCAAAGAGTGGTTGGCTCTTCCCTCTTCCAGCACATCTTCTAGGACTGCATTTCTCCTGGTAGCTGTTTCTGCGAGGCGAGCGCCGCTGCGCAATGGGTAACAGCCAAATGTAACAGAGGGAAGAGGAAACCCCTCTGCATGCAGAAGCAACGGTGGCTCAGGTTGTGTGACAGAGCTGGGTCAGTCCAGCATTGCTGGTGGCACAAAGATACACGGATCTCCCCCAATACTGCAGGCACTGTGCTGCCCCACCCTGGGTAGCACCAGCCTGGTGTCGCTTGCCGTGAGCAGAGCAGGCCGGCTTCAGTTGCATCCCTGATGGGAAGAAATCCTGGTTGCTTTCCCATGTGCAAACCCCACCTACTGTGCTTGTGGCACTTGCAAGTGCTAAAGGTTACAAAATCCATCTTTTTGCTAAGAAAGCGACTTAATTAATGTGAAAGTTTCTCTGGTGGAGGGAACCCGCCGCAGATAGGCAGCGCACATTGCAGCCAGCTCCCCTCTTCCCTCTCAGCACCCCTCCCAAAACCACTTTAATTTCTCTGCCAATATTGGACAAATGTAACAGGCTGACTTTTTAATTTTCTACTCCCAGGTCTCCCTTGTCCCCTCATGCATTTTTCATCACAGCTCATGGCTCCTGCCCTGTGAACAATATTGATCGACTGATTAAGCCATCAAGCCATGGCAAACAACTTTAATTTTCTAACCAAAGCCTTTTAGTTCTCTTCCCTTTCTTGTATATTTGTTACCTTCTTATGAAGTTTTTAGTGTCTGCTTGGAAACAAATGCATTTTTTGAATTAGTCCCCGGGTTAATTGGGAGCGGTGCACCACTGAGAGCAATCCACATCAAAATATTAGCCCATAAAACCCAAACAGAGAGTGGGAAGTGCTACATACCCTGTTTCAAAGCCAGAATCCTCCCTGCCCAAGCTTTTGGAGAAGGGCTGATAGAGGGCTTGGGGTGCTTGGATTTTCAGTCCCTCCCAATAGCCCTAAAGGTTAGTGAGAAGAGAGGAAGCCCCTGCCTGAGCAGCACAGGACCCCTGGGTACCAGGCTGTGCACATCAGGATCATGCACAGCTCTGCCCGCACGCTCTGAAAACCCTGAGAGTTCCTGCAAGACCCAGTTTGTCTTGTAGAGTATTTTTAAGTGATGATGATGATAAAGTGAAAGAAGACTCATCTGACCTGAATCCCAGGGCTGGCAGGTCTGTCTCTCAGACTCAGTGCACGTGTTCTCAGCGAGGCTTGTCGGGATCGCTCTGTGGGTTTACAAATTGCTTTTCAAGGTAAAAATGCATCTTAATATCAAGGTATTTGTCTCACTGGAAGCCTTAGAGCTCTGCTTTGTGCAGCAACGGTGCTGTCTTGTCTTAGGTGCTGGTCCTTTAGGCAGCACTTTGTCGTGCGAGCACAAGTGGTGACCTGCAGCATGTGCCAAGGATCCACGTCCTGAGCATTCTGATATCTCCAGATCTGTGAATTGCAGAAAGGTGCAAAACCACCTAAAGAAGCTGGGCTGCTGTTGGTGGAGGGTTGGTGTAAAGGCAGTGCCAGGACCAAGCTTCACCCTCCTCTAACTGGTCTTTCAGCTAGTATTTAGCTGGGAATCTATTGCTCCCTGCTCTGTACCAACGCCTGGCAGGAGCCCAGCCCCTGGAGGGGGGAGATGCAGCTCCCTGTGCTCCCAGCGAGGATCCACATCCTGAGCGTTCTGATGTCTCCAGATCTGTGAATTGCAGAAAGGAGCAAAAACAGCTGGCTGCTGTCAGTGGAGGGTTGGTGTAAAGCCAGTGCCAAGACCAAGCTTCACCCTCCTCTAACTGGTCTTTCAGCTAGTATTTAGCTGGGAATCTATTGCTCCCTGCTCTGCACCAACGCCTGCCAGGAGCCCAGCCCCTGGAGGGGGGAGATGCAGCTCCCTGTGCTCCCAGCGAGGTGGTTAAGCGGGAGGCTCCGTTGTCTGAGTCAATAGCTGTTACCCACTGTTGTGTGGAAACCTCAAACGTTCCCATTGCCATCCTCACCTCCACCCATGGGACCTCAGCACAGACCCATGCTGTGGATTCAGTTCGGTTCCATGCAGTAGGGTGACAGAACAGCCTCGCAGCTGGCTCCTGGGACAGGTTTCCTGGGTGACTGTAGCA